TTCTGCAGTCAGGAAACCAAAGGTCTGTATTAATCTTCCAGACAATGAGATTTCCTTAGCACAGAGCTACAGCTTTCTGAGTATGGTAGAGAATGATAGCGACGGGAAGGAAAACAGAGGAAGTATCTCTATGAGATCTCCCGTGTGCCTTCCCTCTTGTTGGTGGGACCAAGAAAGCTTTAACGGATACAGCAGCAGAAGAAGCATAGCTGAGTTGTTAAGAGAGTTGGATGCAGACATCTTGGCTTTGCAAGACGTGAAAGCAGAGGAAGAGACTCTTATGAAGCCATTATCAGATTTGGCTTCTGCCTTAGGTATGAAATATGTTTTTGCAGAGAGCTGGGCGCCGGAGTATGGCAACGCCATTCTGTCAAAATGGCCCATAAAGAAGTGGAGAGTTCAGAGAATTGCTGATGTAGATGACTTTAGGTGATACAAAATCTCTTTTGCTTATCTTACATTGATTTTAGTCTTTCCACTATATCATTGCTGATGTAATTGTAAATGTCTTTTTTTTTTGTGTGCAGGAATGTGTTGAAGGTGACTGTAGAGGTCCCATGGGCTGGAGATGTAAATGTGTATTGTACTCAACTTGACCATCTAGATGAGAACTGGCGGATGAAGCAAATCGATGCAATTACTCGAGGAGATGAATCTCCTCACATCTTGCTGGGAGGCTTGAATTCTCTTGATGGCTCTGATTATTCCATAGCAAGATGGAACCACATATTAAAGGTAAATTTTCGTTAGATCGGTCATTATTTAGTTTGTTTCATTATATAACCAAAACCATGTACTGTAAGAACAGTATTACGAGGATTCGGGAAAGCCGACGCCTAGAGTTGAAGTGATGAGATTTCTCAAGGGTAAAGGATACTTGGATTCAAAAGAATTTGCAGGAGAATGTGAGCCTGTTGTCATTATTGCCAAAGGACAAAGTTAGTTTCTCTGTTTCTCTTAACTTGAAATGTTTAATATTCTTCCATAATACCACCAAATCATAGTAATATGTGAAAATTCTTGGTCTGATGCAGATGTACAAGGAACATGCAAGTACGGGACACGGGTCGATTACATTCTGGCATCTCCAGAGTCACCTTACGAATTCGTTCCTGGCTCATATTCAGTTGTTTCTTCCAAAGGTACTTCTGATCATCATATAGTCAAAGTCGATTTAGTTATAACCAAAGAGCGATCTCGAGGTAGCTTCAAACATTCGCGCAAGAAGGCAAAGCAGAAGATCTTTCAGATTAAAGCTAATTTGATGTCAGGAGATACATGGAAACTAGGAAATCTTATGTCTTCATAATGTTTGGCCACTAATTAAGGAACAACACTTGTTCATATGATAACGTTTATTCCAATCATATTAAGATGCAATACAACATTTAATTTAGTCTACATATTGATAGCTATGGTTACAAAGAACTAATTAAATGTTTAAGCAAACAATCGTATTCTATTACAATCTACAACAAATCTTGACAAATAATTTAGAAACAACTGAGGTAACCAATCTTAGGCAGAGACAGAGCCTTTCTTGGCCTCCTCTTCAACAGCTACCTCCTCAGCGATTGGTGCGTACCCGATTCCACTCCGTTTGCTCGGAAACAAAGCAAAGATAGCAGCTGAGGCAACACCCACGGCTGGAGGCAAAGCCATGACAAGTGTCTTTTGCGTTTCCCTGAACCGAGGATAAAAGCAGCTCGCGGTATTAGCGTCAAGCAACACCAGTGCACCAAACACAGCTAGCACGAAACCCGCATGAACGAAATCCGCGATCCTGAGCTTGTACTTGGACAAATCCACGGATCCTGGCTCCGCGTAAGTCCAAAGACCCTTCTTGGTGACAATACCGAACTTTCTTGATCCGTCGACACCTTTGAAACTATCCGTAAAGCATGAAAACACGCAGGAGAAGCTGCAAAGCGCGACAAGAATGCTCGACATGACCTTATTACCCGTGGAGCATTCACCGTCGTTAGTGAGGACAGGGTTAAGTAAAAGGTAGATAAAGAGTGTTCCCGTTGGGAGAAGCTTTATAAGACTCTCTAGGCCTGTGAGGGATTTGTTTGCCATGGTTTCTGATGAAGCTGGAGAGTTTGTTTTGGGTAATAGCAAAGAAGAAGTTTCGGACATGAGCTTGAACCTAGAGTTAATTAAATGTATAAACTATAAAGTGTGGTCTTGGCTTGATACGTGTGTCGGTATTTATAGAACAGTTTGAGATGATAAACCATTGATCCGGTCCGAGATGTTGGGTTTTAACACCGTAGAAGAATTGGTAATAACATTGACTATGTCAAAGTTTTACATTTTGTCTATATGTCTACACACGAAGACTCCATAATTTCTATAACGGTTGTACACACAGAAGTTATTAAGTTTTAATTTGGAACTAAATGCGATGATATTTCTAAGGCGTCGAATTAAGCACACGTTTGGTAATGAATCTTGACTGAATCTAAAGAGAAGTTTCACTTTTGGATCCGTAAATTTTGTAAGACTATACACCAAATTTGATTGTCATTTGAATGTGTTTGTTTTTGTGTTTAGATGTTAAAATGTGCTGTTATAATAAAAATTTCTTTCAAGTAATAAACGTAAAAACACAAAATTGATGGAGAATATGGACTTGATTTTTTAAAAGCTTACGTTTACATTTGTATTAACATGATCTAAAAGTGTGTTTATTGTGTGTGAAATTGTAATGTCCCAACTGCCATCGTTCGTGGACTCTACGCTCTCTTTTGGTCTTTGTGTTTATCTTCGTTCGACGACCGGTTGGCTATTTCAGGAGAATTCAAAAACTTGGTTACTGACTATAGAAATCACCATGTTTTATTTTTTAAAGGTTTTGGTCTTATTCACACGGTATCGAAAATTACTTTATGGTAGATCACTTATCCTTAAAAATTGTTCAACCTCAAACACGTTTAGTTTTAGAGTTTTTTCGGCAATGTTTGACCGAAAAAATTAATGTTAAACTCTTCTCGTACAGTACTATATTCCAGAAATCGGAGTGTTACATAACCTATTACGTCAAAATAGATAGTTGTTAAGGTATTGTTTATAAATGTAAATACAGCATTTTAACATAGAAACTCACTTTTTTCTGCAGTTGAACCAACCAAGCCCATACACGAGATAAAGTTGACAGCTAATTTCTTTTAATTACTTGTGTAAATTGAACTTAACCTGAAATTGGCAGTGAACCAACAAATCGACTAACTCGTTCTGCATGTTCACTTTTTATTTGTTTTGAGTAAATAAAATTCATAATTGGCTGCGTCTACAGCGACTTGTATTTTAGCTTTACACATTTTTTTAAAATTTGATTTGGCTATTGGCTAATTCTTTCTTGACTTTTTACGTATAAATTTGTTACAAACTTAGGAAGCACAGTTTAACTTTTATACGGAGATAATATAATATGTAAGATATCAAAATTCATACATAATAAGATTTGAAAGGTCCATAATTAGTGATGGAACCCTCTGACGATGGACCCATTATCAAGTAAGAACCACTAATAATCTTTGGTTAGTTAGTATAATACGTTTTATTCCATTGGTTAAACGCATCGTACGTTCTTGCATGTCCCATTTCCCATTCATCATGTGATACGTGTCAAAGCGGAGATCTTTACACAAATGTGCAGAAATATACAGTGATACTAATATACTATTATTGTTTACTTTGGCTTGACGTGTTGGAAGTGTTATTGAAAATACGAATTATCTGAGGAAAAAATTGACATTTTACTGTGCATGAGAAAATAGATAAGAATGGTGTGTATGAGTATGATTGGGAAAGTATTTGGAGTGATCACGAAAATCTCAGGGACATGCAAATGAAGAATTAGTGGTTGAAAAAGATGACACTGGTGTGCTGATTGTAATATGTTAAAAATGTTACATAAAAAGTATATTGTATGTAGTCTATGAATTAAAGATATGAGCCAAATTGCATATATTGTTAGTTGGTTTTGAAATAAAGATACATGAATCTTGAAAAAAGAGTGTTAAGTGTTTACTTAAGGTTGGATTGCGTCCACGATTGGTTTAATTAACCGGTAGAAAAATTGTTATATATTAACTCTACTAAACTCATCATCTATTCTTGTAACTTCTCTTGCCCAAAGACATGGGAGAGAAGTAAAAGAGTTAGTCAATTAGAAAGTTGGAAGAAATGTATAGAGCAAGTGAGAAACGATTAAAAAGGAGAGTATTAAGCACGAAAAAAACATTTGAATTGTGATAAGTGGTTGATTCCTATTTGTGATTTCTTAATTTCCTTATGCGTTAAATTCCGACCATTTGCAAATTAGTTTGATTGCTACACCAAACTAACGCATGTATTCCGGTTTACGGTTTTAACATATAAAATTTTTATAGTTTGAAACTCAAACCGGAAATCCAAAGAAAACAAGATAATGTACAAAAGTGGCCAAATTATTGAAAAATAATTGGTAACACAAAAACGACATCTTATATATATATATATATATATATATATCATATTTTAAGAAGTATTCTACCAATTGATTGGACGAGATATGACTACAGAAATTAGAAATTGCATTTTGTTTTGGCCGTGAACAACATTACAAAGTGTTAGGCGGCATATAGAGTCATCAAAGTCATAATCCTCTTGATAAACTCATTACGTTACGATTTTTGTGAGACATCATTGTAAATAAACTAAGCAATCAATGTATTATTATAATAAAAGAAATACTAGTTGGACAAAAACAAATGAGGATCAAATCAAATTATATATTACAATTAAAGTTTCCCTAGACAGATGCTATTTGAAAGATACATTGAATGTGAGCTGTGCATATTAAAAATATAGTACTTTTCATCAGATGTACAGTAATTTAAAATTCGAACCAATAAAATGTTTTAAAATATTAAGAAAAAAAGAAGTATCAAATGCTATTCTTATGTCTTTATCACATTTGCAAAAAAACGAGGAGAAAAAGGCGCGAATGGTTAGACAGTTGACAGCACGACCAACTTCCATTTTTTTAAAGTTGAATTCTTTTTGGATTCTCTTCTCACATCCAAACCAAAACTGTAATAATAAAATACAAAAAAATTTAATTAAAAATAAGGTTTTTTTTTGATACGGAGGATTTTGTTCTCATCTTTTAAGTATACTGAGGATTTTGTTGGACAATTTCTTACCTCCATTATTGGCATAGAGAAACAGAGAAACAAAGAACCAAACAAAAAAAGAAAAGAAAAGAGAGAAGATGGATTTGGTTCAGATGCAGAAGAGTTTGCAAGATTACACCAAATCACTCTTCTTGGAAGTAAGTTTTCCACATTTTAGAAGGACAAATAATCAGAAAATAAAAATTTTAAAAACTTCACAACTTTTTCTTATGTTCTTTTTTTTTTCTGTTACAACTATTACTTATTTGAAGGTGGAAGAAATGGTTTTAGGACTCATAATAAAAAAGGGTTTAGGCTTTTGTAGTATCTTTGTGAGTTTAGGTTATGAAAGATTAGTTTCTGATTATGGAAAGTCTTTGTTTTGGGTATATACAAAAAAGGGGATTTTGGACAGCCAGTTCTTGCAGCTGCAGCAACTACAAGATGAAAGCAATCCTGATTTTGTTTCACAAGTTGTCACACTCTTCTTCCAAGACTCTGATAGGATTCTCAATGATCTCTCACTTTCCCTGTAATCTTCACTACACATTTTCTCTTTTATCTTTTTTTTTTTTTTCTTTTCGAAAACATGTGTTTCTCACTGTTCTTATGCTTTTGGCAGAGATCAACAAGTTGTAGACTTCAAAAAAGTTGATCCCCATGTTCATCAACTCAAAGGTAGCAGCTCCAGGTAACAACAATAATTGGCTATTTATGATTTAGATCTGATTTTAATCCAACGATAATGACATTTTCTTGATCTTGAAATGTGTAAAAAAGATTTAAGATTTTGAGTGTGTGATATTGCCAAAAAAACAGTATAGGAGCACAGAGAGTTAAGAATGCTTGTGTTGTCTTCCGCAGCTTCTGCGAGCAACAAAATGTCGAAGCGTGAGTTTGATCGATAAGTTGTTGGTCCATTCGCTATTTATTTGTTTTAAGATCTGATAAGGAAAATAAACCGTTGAAAATTTCCAGATGTCATAGATGTTTGCAACAAGTGAAGCAAGAGTACTATCTTGTGAAGAACAGATTAGAGACTCTGTTCAAGGTAAGGAGTCACAATAGACTTTTTTTAAGAAACCACCCACATAACTCTCATCTAATACTACAATATTTGATCAACTTATTTGATTCAATTTGGTTTTGATGATCGAATTTACGCAGCTGGAGCAGCAGATTGTAGCTTCTGGCGGAATGATCCCGGCAGTGGAACTCGGATTTTGAGTGAACTTCATAAACATCTCTGCCCATTGTTGTTTCAGTTTGGAACTCTCGTCTTCTTCTCTTTTTGTTACTATCCAAAAAAGGTTCTTGTGAACTTCTTTCTTTGTGCCATTGGAAGAGTGAGACATGCTAAAACGTTTCTTAATCCACACCTAAATCCCACTTATGTATAATAAGATTTCAAGCATAATAGTCATGTCTATATAGAGTTTGATTTAGATAATGCTACGCATCAAGGTAATGTGTTTTAACTATTATTGTATTTGTAAGAAAGTCGGATTAGTTGCTTGGGAAAGAACATAGATGGGCCATATGAATTTTAGTAGCCCAAGATGATAAGAAAGGGCCCGTAATAAACATCGATGATGATCTAGGAAATTTGTTTTTTTTTTTTTTTAATTGCAATTGCACAATTGTGATTTGTGACACACTGACACTTCTGTGAATCCCTAAGATTTTTCAACATTTATGCAATGCAATTAAAAAAGCAGAATATTATTAGTATGTGAGTGCACGTTAAGAAAGGACAAAATTCTTAATTTCTTATAAGATCTTGTGACCTGTCGTCGACTAAGGAAAAAAAAAGGGTATTATGATATATGCCTTTAATTAATAACCTCATTTTTTGATTTTTTTAGTTTGCTACTTATATATTTTTATTATTGCTTAGTATTTGTATTAATTAGTGCCCCATCTTTTTTATTTTGACAGTTTGGGTAAAGAATTAGCGTTCCTTCATCGTTTGTTCTTAAGTAACTTTACTGGTTCCTTTAATTGTACCTTCTGTTTAATTTTGTTTTCAAGTGAACTTTGTCTTTTCAATAATTAGATTTCCACTTCGTATTTATAATGAACCTCTCTTACTATTAATTATGCATTATGACAAAAAAAAATATGATGTCATGTTCTTTGTTTGTTATCGATTACAGATTTGAATATCGTAGGGTAGATAACAATATTTTATTCTTATTGTTTTTTTTTTATATAGTTTCAATAATAATACAAAAACTAAGATCTTTGTTATAGTATCCAAGGGGAAGCATGTTTTGGTGAAAATATTTGCATAGAAGAAGACTAATCAGTAATCAAGACAGGAGATATATAGGTTGACTAATCCCATCTAGTTTTCTCCGTTGTATAGTCTAAATTACGATTAGTTACAACTTTCAACACACATATGACATGAAACACATTACACATGCATCATTATTCATTAATGTGTTTAGTTACGCTACGTATATATACCTTTGTGTAGATGTGAAAGTTGAATTAATACAAACATCTCTCACAATCACCCACAAGGCCACAATATGGTACAGTTACGTTGATTCCCGTTGGATTAATACATTAAGTTAATGCACTACTTATTTAACGGCTATAGATCTTTCAAAACTGATTTGAGTTTCTACTTGAACAAGCCTGATTGTGTATACATACATTCATGTCAATGTGATGAAGACGAGCAATAGAGCCGTGCTTTGACCTTATGTATCCAAATTCTTGTGGTCAACTTTTGTGGTCTGAATTATTTATCATTTTGACAGTCACTCAAATTAAGTCATATATCTGAATATGTATTCCTATAGTTTGAGTGATAACTTTCATATAGGAAAATTCAAAGTCTTTCTAATTTGGGAATAAGAGGTTTATTAATGTATGTTCGGACAAATTAATTTAGACCGTTGAAGCTTGAATAAGGTGAAATTCAAGTTAAATAAGACGTTAACATGTGTGTGAACAGAAACCTATTTTCTAAAATTTTGATATTAAATTTGTACAAAATACATGTCTATGTTGATTTTAGGTGTTAGAGTTGGATTAGTAAACTTTACCTTTTATTAATACTACCACTATATATACGTTGGAATGTCATATCAAACACAGATTATCATCACTTCAACTTTAGCTCTTTTTGTGGGTACAAATTCTCTCAAAATGGCTCTCTCCGTATTTGCCTTTCCTTCTTACATATATAGAAATCCTTCAATTAAATATTGCAAACCTACTTCTATGTCTTCTACAAAAACTGTAAGAGTTTTTTTCCCCTCTTTTACTTATTGATTACATATGAAGTTGCATATATCAAAGTTCTGCAGATTATAGTGAGAAACTATATACACTTAACACTAGTTCTTGTTAAGTTTGTGAAAGTTATTGAATTAATCTAAAATAACAACCATTTTTTTTTGGTTCAGTCAAAAGTAAGAGCAACAATTGCAGAGAAAGGTGAATATTATTCAAGTAGACCACCAACTCCTTTACTGGACACAATCAACCATCCAATGCACATGAAAAATCTGTCCATCAAAGTATAAATCCTAATCCAAAGCCTTGATTTATCAAGATTGTTTTGCCTCAAAATCTGAGGATGCATTGTGCTTACTGGAATTTGGAATATGATGTAGGAACTCAAAGTTCTTTCGGACGAGTTGAGATCTGATGTTATCTTCAATGTTTCAAAAACTGGAGGACACTTGGGTTCGAATCTGGGTGTTGTTGAGCTCACTGTGGCCCTTCATTACATCTTCAATACTCCTCAAGATAAGATCCTTTGGGATGTTGGTCATCAGGTTGGTTATCCCATTGAAAGCATTTGTTTTCCTTTAGTTAGCTACACAAGTGTTTTAACTTGTTTTTTTTTTTGTCTTTTGACAAGTCTTATCCTCACAAGATTCTAACGGGAAGAAGAGGTAAGATGAAGACAATAAGGCAGACCAATGGCCTCTCCGGCTACACCAATCGAAGAGAGAGTGAGCATGACTCCTTTGGCACCGGGCACAGTTCGACCACAATATCTGCAGGCTTGGGTAATACTTGTTGTTATTGCCTTGTGTCACAAGAAAACTAGAAAATTCACTTTTCTAAGGATTAAGTATGACTACTCTAGGTCCTTTCTAACATCTGAAAATTGTGAATCAGGGATGGCTGTGGGCAGGGATTTGAAGGGGATGAACAACAGCGTGGTTGCGGTTATAGGCGATGGTGCGATGACAGCTGGACAAGCTTATGAAGCAATGAACAATGCTGGCTACTTAGACTCCGACATGATTGTGATTCTCAACGACAATAAACAAGTCTCTTTGCCTACTGCTAACTTGGATGGACCAACTCCACCTGTTGGAGCTTTGAGCTGTGCTCTAAGTAGGTTGCAGTCTAATCGTCCTCTCAGAGAATTGAGAGAAGTTGCCAAAGCAAGTTATTAATAATAATTCTTTTTGCTTGTGGACATTATTAAATTTTGTGAAATTTCAAGTCTTATATATGTTGTTTATAGGGAGTGAGGAAGAAATCAATGCATCGACTAGCTTCAAAGGTAGACGATTATGCTCGACGAATGACTAGTGGGACTGGTTCAACTCTGTTTGAAGAACTTGGTTTTCATTATGTTGGTCCAGTTGATGGACACAACATAGATGATCTGGTCTCCATTCTTGAAAAAGTAAAAAGCACCAAACCCATAGGACCGGTTCTTATTCATGTCGTGACTGAGAAAGGTCGCGGATATCCCTACGCAGAGAGAGCTGATGACAAGTATCATGGTAAAATTAATTTACATATATAACATGTTTTTTTTTTTCTTCTTGACTATAATAAGCATTTTTTTTTTTGGAATGAATGTAAAATTTATTCAACCAAAACAACGTTTTTACAATGAATGCAACCTTAATTCGAATGTTTTTTTTTTTGTTTTTTTTTTAGAAATGAATCTGAAAGAATAGAATGTTATCTTGACATTCTTGAATATAATAAGCATTCTTGGATTGATCCATCTTTCTTCTTCTTGTTTCAGGAGTTTTAAAATTCGATCCAGCAACAGGTAAACAGTTCAAAAACATTTCCAAGACTCAGTCTTACACTTCCTGTTTTGTGGAGGCCTTGACTGCGGAAGCAGAGGCAGACAAAAATATTGTTGCCATTCATGCAGCCATGGGAGGTGGAACAATGTTGAATCTCTTCGAGAGCCGCTTTCCTACAAGGTGTTTCGATGTTGGAATAGCAGAACAACATGCAGTTACTTTCGCTGCTGGTCTTGCTTGTGAAGGACTTAAGCCCTTTTGTACAATCTACTCATCTTTCATGCAACGGGCTTATGATCAAGTAAAGTCATATATTTTTTGATTATTTGCTGATGTGGTAACTAGACTAAAACTAGTTTGTGTAGGTTGTACATGATGTTGATCTACAGAAACTACCAGTGAGATTTGCAATCGATAGAGCAGGACTTATGGGAGCAGATGGTCCAACACATTGTGGAGCATTTGATGTGACGTTTATGGCATGTCTTCCAAACATGATAGTTATGGCTCCATCTGATGAAGCAGAGCTTTTTAACATGGTTGCAACCGCTGCAGCTATTGATGACCGTCCTTCTTGCTTTCGATATCATAGAGGAAACGGTATCGGTGTTTCACTTCCTCCTGGCAACAAAGGTGTCCCTCTTCAGGTATGTTTAATAAAAAAAATATTATGAATCCAAAACTTAACATTCAAGATTTAATCTTTTTGTGTTTTCAAATTTCAGATTGGGAAAGGTAGGATACTAAGGGAAGGCGAGAGGGTTGCGCTTTTGGGCTACGGATCAGCCGTTCAAAGATGTTTAGAGGCTGCTTCTATGCTTAGCGAACGTGGATTAAAGATAACTGTAGCGGATGCAAGATTTTGCAAGCCATTAGATGTTGCTCTCATTCGTAGCTTAGTTAAATCACACGAGGTTTTGATCACGGTTGAAGAAGGTTCGATTGGAGGATTTGGATCGCATGTGGTACAATTTCTTGCACTTGATGGCCTTCTTGACGGAAAGCTCAAGGTACATTTACATTTCACACATTCTTAATATTCATTTAAATCCCTTTTGGTCGATCGCTGACTTCAAATGTTGTCCCTTTTGACAAAAGTGGAGACCAATGGTACTACCTGACCGGTATATCGAACATGGATCACCAATGGATCAACTGGCTGAAGCTGGCCTCACAGCGTCTCACATTGCAGCCACAGCACTTAACTTAATGGGAACACCTAGAGAAGCCTTGTTTTGGGAGTAATGAGATCTCCAACAGGCACAGAAACGTTCTTCAATTCTATAAGAGAGTGTATCGAGAAAACCCGCTTAGAAGAAGTATATATTGTAGTTATTTAACATCTTGAATAAATTCATTCACATTCAAGAATGAGTTTGTGTGTGTAGTGCTTATATCTCGTTTCAACTAGGCTAAGAAATAGAACAAATGGCATTGGCGTTTTCATCGCTAAACACCATAAATTTCTCCATCTCCCAATCACAAAACCCGAAAATCGACTGATCCCTTAAACCAATCGATTCCATATCAATCTCGAGAACATTTTCGTCCTCTTTACTAGATTCTTCATCTTTCTCTTCCTTTACTACAATCTTCACTCTTTTACCAGTCTTCTTCTTGAGTTTCTTCAACAACTTGTTCGGATCAATCTTACCCTTGACCATAACCTTATGATTAATCATATCCGTCACAAACGTTTCAACTCCTATAAAATTCATAGATCATTCAAATAACAAAATTTTAAAAACATGTGTATATAGATGGATACGTTACTTTGATTAATACCTTTGAATTTGGAAATAACTCTAGCGATTTTTCTCTCGCATTCGTTGCAATGCATCGATATATTGAATTCGACATCCATATACTACAACATATCGAAACGCAAATGAAATCAAAATGAAGTACCGTTTGAAAACAGAGAAAAAAAACAGAGGATTAACAAACAGGAGAGTGTTAAGTACGATCTTACTCTGACATTGTCCTTTTTCTTCTTATCTTTCGTCATTGGTGAATCGGTTTATGAAGTTGAGACTGTAATTTATGTCCGAAGCGACAAGAGATGTCGACAGCGTCTAATAGTTTTTGAATTTTTTTTGATGCAATGGCGGTTTAGATTTTGGATAGGAGTTATTGACGGTTAATACGGTTCGTTAATTATTTTCTTAAAATTAATAGATGGAAGTGGGAATATTTAATTGAATCTCTATTGCCTCAAAATTTTCTGTACATATACCGTCGTCTTTTGTTTTTAATAGTGGCAATTTTTTTTTTGTTTGGGAATTGAAATAAGAAGAAACCTAGAAGTTTAAAAAACTAGAAAAGGGAAAAGATCACATGACAAGCTTGAGATTTTGCTTGGCATAAAAAAAAATCTTCTCTCTAGCTATATCTTAATTCTTAAGATTTTATGATTACAAGAAAACGTATACATACATGGTATATATTTCTTTTTTTTTTTTTTTTTTTTTTCGGCAAATCAAATATATTGATATCATAAAAGTATACAAGGTACAGAATAGATACAAAACAACCATTGTACGCAAATATAGGAAATTGAAACAATTTCGATGAAAGAGTGGAGAGTAACCCTGCTATCAAAAGCCTTACGGGCTAACAGATGAAATCTGTTATGTCCCTCTTTCACATACTTGTTATTGGCTATCAGCTTGCTGCTGAGACTCCAAAATGCCTTTAGCATTACTTTACTTTTGAAATGTGAACTTAATGTTGTTGGAGATAATACTGTATCTTGTCGCTTCGTTGAAATCAATACATTTGACGACTCCGAGAAAGACTCGCTTTGATCAGTGGGTAGTCGCCTTTGTCTTATCACCCATATTTGTTGCCATGGTAAATGTTTTCTCTTCTTAAAATCAGACATGCCATTCATGGAATCTACTTGTGAACCGAGATAAACCAAGACCCAATCCAAAAAAACAAGTGGCCATCTAGGCGAGGTCGAGGCTTCATCTATCTTCAATAGAAAACCAAATTCGTCTTCTGATGCATCGTATTCAAGGATGACGTTCATAAATGGTTGGTGTAAAATCATCATATGCGGTCGTCTCCTCATGTAATCGTGAACAAAACACTGTGAAGAAGAAGCCTTTCGTTGGACCAGATACTTCTTGGGAATCATCGGGTGCGCCGTTAATTCCCTCTTTGTCGCCAATCGAAGATCTTTGAGCATAGATCTTGGGTAGCGATGCGCAGGGAATTCCGGTATAGAATGGCCAAATAGCGGCACAAGATCACCAGAATTAATCCATTGTGTTTGACTGTTCTTCTTTGTTTCCACTAGTTTGATGATATCCTCATCTTCCGCCAAAACTCTATTGATGCCGGGATCAAATATCCAAGTGAAACCTCCATACCCTTGGGTAAGAGGACAATCACCGGTTGATAACCGGAAAAACCACCGGCGCCAAGGGAAAGCACCGAAAACAAACCTTCTCCGTGGAAGGAAAACACAATTCCATTGAATCGACATTACAAAGGAATAGAGATATTGTAGAGGAGATGACTCTGTCAGATCTGGCGAATGTCTCTGATGGAATTGATCCACAACCCAAATCAGGAATGGATCCGGGAAGGAGAACAGACTCTGATTTGAGAGCGAGAGGCGCGATCCTTCAGACATCATCATCGAAAATAGACAAGGAACATGGGTGGGATGGTCGTGATTTGCCATTATCGACTAAAATTAGAGAAAATGAAACCAATTGAAGAAGAAAACAACGATGGCCGACGCCGGAGAAGCCGACGCCGGCCGAAAACGGTGAACAAAAAATGAAACGGCGCTTGTCGTTGAAGTCGCTCGGAGGAGAGAGAAGAGAGGATTCTTTCCATTCAAAAGAGGTTATTGACTTCTTTTGTTATATTTCTTATTAGAACCACATTTGTTAAAGAATAAATCTTTTTATACTGTTGTTTTTATATATCATTCCTTAGATTTGTATATATATATATATATATATATATATATTTTTGACAGCATCATCGGTTAGATTCATATTCACTAAACTAGAGATTAACCCGCGGTATACATCGAAGTAATATTTTATAAAAAAGAATCGAGATGCGTTTTTTAAAAAATTAAATTTTAAGATGTATTATTTTGTTAATATTGTTTCTTTTGTTTAGTGTTTAAATTGTATAATTATATTTTGATTGTTAATTCTAAAATTTTACATTAGTACCCCGCCTCGTAGTATATTATCGACCCAAATCCATCAATTCTAGGATTTCACCCGTAGTATAAAGTTTAATTTATAATGTTTAAACTTCTTATAAATTTTAAATATTTATAATATTTGAAACTTCAATAAATGTTTGAAATATTTATTGCCAAAATCTTCTGCTAAAATGTATATAGTTTGAAGGAGAAAAAATTATCTTACTAAAAAGTAAAAACAATCAATACATTTAAATTAGGTTCAATTTAATTTTTGAGCCCAATTTAGCTTTTGAACCCAATTTGGTATTAGAATGACTTCTTCTTTTTGATTTAGAACAGACTCGACAGTCGATATTGTTCCGACGATAGAGTTTTTGCACCATGAACATTGAATTTAATTTTGAAGGTGTGGCTCATCATCCTTCCTCTCATTCTAGGAGGACTTGGTGTTGCCTTTTTAGCCGGTGGCGGATTCACCATCACTATTCCTCCAAACGCTAGTATGAATCTTACTGTGACTGCTGTGGACGGAGGAAACACAGAGAAACGACTTACTGGATTATATAATCTAGTAAGTCGCTAGTCAGGTTATGCATCTCTTAATGTTTAACCCAACTTTACCACTTCTTGAAATTGTTCGAGACAAACGATTTAGTGGATTATATCTATATCCAATTTCGCTTTTGTTGAGATACGACTATCAACACAGAAGAAGCACAATTCCAATCGCAATAATTGTTTCTTCCGACTTTTGTTTTTGTCCAGTATTTGTACTAATTCTTATTCTCATTGTTTCTTGTTCTTTGTTGTGATGATAGTGTGGTGGTATCGAAGTGAATGTCCGCTACCGATATTCAATCGCTGTACATCCATATGGAAATCCGCTTGAAGCTGGCGGTCAGTTCTTAGTGCATTACCGTACAAATGATGTAGATGAGACAGGACACGAGGATGATCCAGTGATTGATCTAGGACATCTACCTCATGGTTGATTGCTGTTTTTTTGTCTGTGTGTAACACATTTAAGTAATTGTCAGTAAGCCACATATCCTAATAAATGCAAAACCATAGTTTCACATGAGACCTACTAATCTTTATTACTTTGCAAACTACATAGAGAATCACTCAAAATCAATTTTTCATTTACTTCCACAAATGAAATAAAAAAAACTACTGGACATATAACTAACATAGTCTAATACAATCAACTTAAGGTTATCACTTATCATACCTAGACTGCGAATTGTCCATTCTCTCATTCAACAGCAGTCACAAGTACTGTTTCACCTGATTTCATAATCCCACAAGAAAATAGAAATGTCAGACATAATTAAAAACAAAAATTTAAGAATATTATATAGAAATGATGTCAGAAATGTAACTGAAAATAAAGTACAAACAGTTGCTTGGACCAATTATCAAGGCGTCAAAAAATAAGTGTTATAATTCTCACATTCTCTCTATCTTTCACTCTTTCTTGTTCGTTTGTGACGTTCACTTGTTCTAGAGAGAAAACAAGAACACATTTTACTCTTTAAACTACATTGTTAATATTAATAATTCTCTTACATGACACACTTATACTACTTCCACTTTCTGCTTCAATGCACCCACTTGGACTCTAAAATGACTTTTACTACGACTCTTACACAAGTGACAAGACTATACTACTAGGCTACTAGCCACCTTACTCACTCATTGGAACTCTCCTTCCTTGATTGACTCTTCTTAATCATTGGGACTCTAACTAAACCACACTTAAACACTTGGGCCCAAATCATCCTTTAGCCCATTAAAACCTTATTACAAAACAGAAGCCCAACATCTTTGTTTCTGTTGACTTGTTTCCTTTGTTGTTGACCTGCTTCTTTTCTTTGGTCACGACACTTTCTTCTTCTTCTCCATTGAAGCTTCTTCTGTTATGCAGTTAGTCCTGAGGTAAGTATGTCAACAACTTCTGGATCTGGTCTTGGAACAGGAAGTACGTGCTTAGAAGATACTACCTAAATCAACAAAAGACCGGACCACATGATCACTGAAGCCTTGGAAATCTCAACATACTGGTCTTAAGATTTAGGAGCTCTCATACTGTTCAAGGATTGACTGTGCTTAAGGCCTTAAATAGCCCCTGGTGATGGCCTACTGCGGTCAAATCTCATAGATCTTGAGTGAGTTTTATCCTGTAACTATTCATGTTTGGTCAAACATTGTAAACTATGTTTGATATTAATATATTTGATTTGACGGGAAAAAAAAATGAGAAATACGTTAGAAAAAGAAAGAGAAATACGTAAAATCTCCGGTCAAGCCTCCTAAAATCAAGGTAACTGTCATCTGAGATTATTATACATAGCACACAATCTAAACCGTTTTAGTATTATTTACCCTTTTGATATACGAATGCCTCCCTACCACAAACACTAATAATATCTCTGATCCATCTTCGGAAATGGAAATAAGTTTCAGCTTTAATGAAGCCCATGCACCTGTTACAATTAACGTTCCGGCTAATGTTGGTTTTACAATTAATGTTAAACCTGTTGCCGGACACGTACCACCCGTTGGTGGAGGTGGTGGCGGATTAAACGTTAATGTTCTTCCTCCGGCTGGTGGAGGTGGTGGTGGCGTTGAACAAGTAGTAAAGGCTAATCCTAAAGTTTTTTTTTATTTGGCCGTGGACGGCAGACTGGCTGGTCGGATCGTGATTGAGCTCTTTGCAGATACGACCCCGCGAACGGCAGAGAACTTCCGGGCCCTATGTACCGGGGAGAAAGGGATGGGGAAGCTTGGTAAGCCACTCCACTACAAGGGATCAATCTTCCACCGTCTTGTCCCCTATCAAATGTTCTGTGGAGGAGATATCACTGCTGGTAATGGAAGTGGAGGCGAATGCATCTACGAAGATAGATTTTTCGAGGATGAGAACTTCATCAGGCAGCACACCGGTCCAGGTTTCATCTCCATGGAAAACCGTGGTCCAGACACCAACGAATCTGGGTTCTTGATCGGCCTGCAGGAGGACAGTTTACTTGGCCGCGAGACCGTCGCTTTCGGTCAAGTTGTTCAAGGATTGACTCTGCTCAATGCCTTAAGTAGAGAGCTTGGAAATCGTAACAACAAGCCTTCCAAGCCCCTGGTGATCGCTGACTGCGGTCAAATCTCATAGATCTTGGTGAGTTTTATCCTATAACAACTATTCATGTTTGATCAGGTGTGTTTCGTTTTGAGTTTGGGTGTTTCCATCGAGTGTAGACCATTGAATAAATAATCTAGCTACCATTGAATGATGATAATCATAAATAATAGATTGGTTAAAGAATCAGGTTAGCTTCGAGAATCCAACCAGCTATTCGTTTAAAAATCTCTATCGTTCCTCTTTTCAAATTTTCATAATGACTTAACACTCAAAACCCAACAGATTATAATTACACGAGTTGAAGCCAAACATGTTACATATACAGCCACTTTCTAATCTAATCTAAAACAGAGCTCTCATATATGAGTTTGATCACATTTCCTCTTTTACCCGCTACGGCGTTGAAACTTACCTTTGCCGTCTTTGATCCATATCGTTGACCGCGTTCTTCTCACATGGTCTGTGAAGAGACGGTACCTAACACAGTTCAAGATTCAGAAGTAAGAAGCCTTGAATAAGATGAGACAAAGCTTTGTTCTACAAATATAAGAATTTCTTGTCAAATAACAATACCCACCTCTCATACTCAAGCCTTTGAGTAACTATCCCATTCAGTAGTAACTCCGAGCTATATACCTCGGCCCCTGAGGAGAAGGAAAAGAAAAAGTGTGATTCCCCGTGAAATCGACCACATACATAAGCAAAAGTTATATAGACGGAACTATAACTCACCTCTTTCTAGAAACGGTATGCAGGTAGCGCGATCCTCTTCACATGATAAGACCAGAAGATTCTCTGGGACCTTATCTTCACTTAGGGCAGATCTTCCGAGTCTTTCTACAGGCTGGCATTTATTTTCATTATGGATCAGTATGTGGGAGAAAAAGTTTTGGAAACATGCACATGAAAGTGTAAAAAGGCGAAGAAATGATTACCAGTCCATGAACAGCCTTAACCAAAGTCGTGATTGTGTTTAAACCAGGCTTTGTATTTGGGGTGATAAAAACTCTTCTCCCCTGAAAGAGTGTAAAAATAATGAGCCGAAAAGGGAGAACAAACGAGGTAAAAAAAAGTATTTGAAACCAAAAGAGTATTAGATACCTGTAGTAGCGGAAACTGGCGTGCACGAGCCAAAGAAACCCCCATGTTGAAACAGAACTCCTTCTCCTTTTTTGAATCTCTGAGTATATACATATCCTCGTCAACGTATATGCTTACTTGATCGATGCTTTCAAGCCATTGTGTTGTGACCACTGGCTTGCCTGAAGCGATTGCCTCTAGCATGTTCCTTGTGCGCGTAAAGTTATCAGCTAAGAAGTGTGTTGCCTCCTTCATGGAGGAAGCTTCCGAGATATCAAACCTTGCCAAAATCTGTTAAGAAAATGCCAGATTGTTAATGTTTTACTTTTGTCTACAAAACTTATTTAATATCAAACTGAAAATTCACTACCAGTTGTAAAAGAAAAAGCACGGTAATAAGGTCACATAATCGAAGGTAACTAAGTCACAGTTATAAACCCAACTTATACCTTCTTCTGATGCTTGGTCACATCTTCATCAAGATGCTGGCTGAACAGGACACGTATACTACCCAAATCTCTTCTCTTTCTAGTACTCTTTGTCTTGGAGATAGGTTCCGCTAATGGTAAGGTTAAGCTACGAA